CAAGCACTGAAAGACTACGTCGAACTAGAGCTCTACTCCCTGGAACAGACGGACCATTAGACACATCACCAAATAAACAAAACCTGTCACTAGAGGGCAGACTGTATCCCATCAGGCTTTTCCATAACTGCCGGACGCCCAGCTGGTCCAGGCTACCACGGGTCTAGACGAGGCCTCATCGCCAGACAAACAGGCCCCGGCTAACTGTAACAGAAAGGACACTAGCTGGGAGCCTGGATCCGGAGGAAGAGAAACGGTGTGCCACACAAGGCACACATCACAAAACAACTCCGGACAACAACGCCCTCAATGGACTACTATGCTGCAGTTAACGCACACACGGACTGGTATAAGATGAATGTTGCCAGCACAGAAGAAGGGCCCTGGTGGCGGAGTTAGACAGGCGGGGAGCTGCTAACCACAAGGTGTGAGGTTCCAACCCAGCGGCTGCTTGCAGGGAAAAGATGAATGTTCCCTGTGCTGTATCCCAGTGTTCCACATTGTTTCCATTGGTCCTTGGAGCCTCAGTTTCTCACCATCTCCAGGGTTGCTTCAGCACCACTGGTTCTGGATCCTAGGTGGCCTGGAGATGGTTGACTGCCAACTAATTCTTGGGGGTCCAAGGACTGTGAATCTGTTCCATCTCCTTTTGACGCTGCCTGCACCGTTCACGGTTTTAACCACCACCCCCACCAAACCAAACTCACTGGTCCTGGGGCACACTCCCGGGGCCCCCACAGGGCAGGGAGAACTGCCCGTGGACTGCCGCTCACTCTTCAGCGGCAGGGCAGGTGGGTGTGACGCTGCCCCAGCTGTCACCGCTACGCCCGTGGGACATTCCAATTGGAGCCGTGGCCTGTTTCTGCGGGTGCTTCAGCTCGGGGTGTGCCGAGCTAGCGTCTCATCACGACGCCCTATGCTGCCTGCTGGGGCTTCCTGCCTTTCGAAACTCTCCCTTAGCGTTCAGGCCACTCACACCATTCACTTTAGCGACTACGTTCAAGAGCAAGTTTCAGAGTCTCTTCTGAGCAACGGTACGACAAACTGACAGTGCTCACCGAGAGACAAGCGAAAGTTTGTCTGGGAGAGTTGACGAAAAGGAACCACATCCGGGAAGTACGGATACTGAAATGGACACACACCGAAGGCGTTCAATAGCTCAGAGAGAAATCGTTGGGAGTAACCCATACGAGGAGCAGAAAGAAAGACTTTAAATTAATTAATTAGTTAACAACAGAGCCGGAGGGCCCCGTAGAACAGGCTCAAACACACCAGTACATGCTCCATGGGCAGCGCGGAAGGAAAAGAACGTGGAAAGCTATTTAAAGAAATGGCTGAAGACATCCCAACGCGGATGCAAGGTGTGAATTTACACATCCAAGAGATCGACATACCCTGAGCAAGAACCCCCCGATCCACGTCCAGACGCGTTATAGCAAACGGTCAAAACCCAAGGACGGAAGGAGTTTTGAAAGCAGCAAGAGAAGTGACTTCTTCACGAACAGGCCCCATAAAGTTTGTGAAAAACTGAGCGAAAAGATGATGGAATTCTTCCACGCGCTTTTTGAAGCCGCTTCTATACGGAGCCCCCGTCAGAAACCAGACAGGCCAGAGGCTGCAGAATGCGACGTCCAAAGCAGTGGAGAAAATACGCCCACTGCCACGGAGGCAGTCTCAGCTCAGGGGGTGCCTAAGGCTGTCACTCCCCACAGGCACCCACAGCTGCACCCTCTCCCCCACGGAGCCACGGCAGGTCTGGACTGCTGGTCTATTCCATGTCCCACGAGACAATCCTTCAGCGGCAAAGGCAAAACCAAGTTACTTCCAGATAAATCACTACCGCTGAGGAAGCTCAGCGCCACAGAAACGCGAGAGGGCGTCTGTCCGGGTGAAGAAGACTCCCGGCAGTAACCACGCCCTAAGAGAAATCCCGGTGAACACGGGCAGTAACTCTCCAGTGACACGAGAGAGCCCGCATCACTGCGCCCGGCTCAGCTCGCAATTCCCCTTTCTTTGATGACCCCAAAGGCAAAGGCAGACAAGGTTGCCAACCTATGCTGACGGCCACGCGCCGGGCGGGACAGCCCGTGATGGCCGCCGTGGGAAAGGGTGGAGATGCACAGGAGGAGTGAGCGTGAACACCACGGAAGCCATGCTGGTGGCACTCAGACCGGACTGTTAACCACTGTCCAGTTGATGGCTGACCCCTGACATCCTGCAGTGTTGGTGACCATACGTGGGCCCGGGAAGATGCCTAGCACCGAACAGGCGCTTGGAGAGTGAAGGACTGCCCAGAAAGGAGTGAACACCCTCCTGGCCAGCCAGGGGCAGTGGAGGAGGCTCCTGGGAACTGGCCACCGGAGACCAAGTAGACACGGGCTCTGAGCTGAGTTCTTCCTGCAAGGGGGCCAACCCAGACTTTGGACTTGGCGGGGGTGGGGAGGGTATGTGAGGGCATGTGTTCTGCCAGCGGGCACAAGAGCCCTTGGCTGAAGGTCTGTGTGGTGGGCACACAGCCTGCGGCTCCTGCAGGTGGGAGGGTGAGGGTGGGCAGTGGTCTGCTGCCCTCACCCCGGTGCCGTCCATCCCACGTCTCGTCTGGACAGTCGGCCAGCTCAGAGCAGGCACAACCAAGGACGACAGCCTCATCTTCTGCCCTGCACACGTGCTGGGACGCAGCGGCCACAGCCACCAGGGCCCAGGCCCGCCCGGCAAACGCACCTAGTCCAATGATGCCCAAGGTCTCCCCGCGGATCCTGGCGGCTCCGGAAGCCACTTCCCGGATCTGCTCAACGCTCTGGACGCGCGTGCCTTCCCGCAAAGCCTGGTGCAGCCACGTGGTGCGCCGGTACAGGTTCAGGATGTGGCACAGGGTAGAGTCGGCAGTCTCCTCCACGGACGCGGCCGGCACGTTGCAGACGGCAATGCCTGGGGGGGGAGGGTGCATGCGGCAGGTGACCAGCGTGCTCTCACTGTGCACACGGGCCTGGCAGGCATCTGCCGGGGGTGCCGTGGGGCAGACCTGGGAGCTACACACTAATGTGCATTAGAGGGCGCATGCCAGTGGCCGGCGTGGCCCCTCTCCTCTCCTGACCCCCACTGCAGGGCGCAGGCTTCTGCCCGCACATGCCCACTCTCCTTCAAGGGGCACTTTGTCCTGCACACAGGTCCACGG